CCCCAAAACCCCAAAACCCCAAAACCCCAAAACCCCAAAACCCCGTTAATCCAAAATAAGTTTTAATTTTAGAGAAATTCGAATTGAAAAATTAAAATTATAATTCTAAAAGAAATATGAACGTTAAGCTCGCGTAGTCGAAGTATCTTCAAGCAGCTGGAAACATCTATAACTCCAATACTAAGACTAACAATGATTAAAAAGAGAAAATTGACCCCTTTGCATATAATCATATTTGCGATCACCCGGCCACTTATTAAGTTAAGAAGAGACCATTGAAAAAAGAGTAATGGCAATCAGTTACTGATATGTCTGGAAGGGGTTTTACAGCAAATTAATCCTCACTTGGAGGTAAAAAGCACGTTAGGAATCAATCAAAAATTAATCTAGACTAAGACAATAGATTCTTCGATGATAATAAGAGGATTTATGAAACTTATGGAACTTTAAGAAGGACCTATTAGGGTGGATATTAGGAATAATCACAAGAAAAATAATTGACTTAATCAGCTACTTATTTACCAAAACCGACATTCTTCCATCATATAGAAAATGAATAGGTTAAGTAGCAGCAAAATTATCAATAAGAATTGATGGCATAAGGTGGCTAATAATTTTATAGCAAACCAACAGAGGAAATTATTCATGCTGAAAATAATAACAGCAATCATGTAGCAGTAAATGACCCATGTTTAAATCAAAATATAAATGATCAACACATATAGCAAATTGAGCATATAAAAACTGAAGCAACCTAAATAAGCACACATTAAGCTCATTAAAGCTTAAAGAAAAGTATTCCAAAGTAAAAATCACCAGGCAAAGTAGTGATTTTAAAGTAATAGCTTAATGATTTAAAAAAGAAAAGTTATACCCCTAAAAATTATTCTAAGAGACCTTAGTCAAGTAAATAATAGCAGACTGCTAAATTTAACTAATAGATATAAAATAATACCAACACCAAGAGAAGTGATAATTAATAATCGGCAGCTATACAAGATAACAATGAATGGACATTAGGTAAGAGAAATGACCTTGAAAATGCTTTAAAAGAATCTCACAAGAACAATGAAGTAGTATCAGTTAATTAAGAAATTCCTGATTCTACATTACCATAAGCAGATGAGAAGTCCATACAAAATAGAAATAATGAAATAAAAGCTGAAGAAAATTAATAAGCAATTTCTTAATAGCAGTAGTAGACATAATCTTCCAGGGGCTTCAAGAAAAGTGGGAAATAATAAAAACCAGATGAGGAAAATATTTGGCAAAGTTCTTATAATTCAAGCTATAAACCTTTTAAGACTGAGGTTTACACTGTTAATTTTAGAGATCCACAGAGGAAGATGGTCTTGGGGCCATTTACAGCTGCTTGATTATATCTTTCACATTATATATGAATTTTACTCTTATTTTTTCAGTTAAGATTAAATCAATTAATTAAATCAATTCAAGTTACAATTCAACAGCGGGGTTTTGGGGTTTTGGGGTTTTGGGGTTTTGGGG